CCTAAACCCTAAACCCAGACAAGAACCTTAAAAGCCGACTCAAGCAAGGAACGAGATGACGCAGGGGGCTCAGGGGGGGATTCCCGGTGTGAATGCCCGCAGGAAGTCGGGGAACAGAGAGCCTTTTTTTTTTTTTTTTTTNNGGGGAGGGGGGCAGGGTGTAGGGTTAGGGTTTAGGGCGGTAATGAAAATAATGCCCGTCATGATACGAACAAAGTAGTTAAATAGTAGTAGTAGCACTTTGGCATGATAGATGAGCTTGGGGCCAAGGGCCAGGGCTGTGCTGAATGGGTTAGAGGGTTTCAGGCATGTCGCTGCCGAATTGGCTGCACCATTCTTTTGTGATGTAGATACTTAGGCAACTCTGATCGGCAGAACTCGCCCTTTGCCTCGGGGATTACGGTAGATTAGGCTTCTAGGTAGCTGGAAGCCAGAGAGCAAGCGGGTACTTGGGTTTTGGAAAGAAGTAGTGTGGGTTAGTACTCGGGGGAGTGTATGATTATGACGGATTTGAATCCTTCTCAGACAAGTAACAGGATTCCGCACAATGCGGTGTGTTCGTCGTGCTTGCTTGCCGCTGGTCTCAAGCTGATGCACGCCGAGACATCATGATATTCATCATAAACCCAAAGCCCTCACCCCTTCATTTTGGCCGCGAGCATGTCCATGATGTTTCCTGACAGTGAAGCTGCTAGTACGAAGATAAGTTGGTCATGCCCGTCCATATTCATTTCGGTAGCCTTTTCGCTTTCGCCATGTGTCATCAGTTTTTTGCAGTTATGAACCCCAAAGCCGGGAGGAACCGAGCATCATGTAAGGTGCTGCAGTTACAGCTTTAGCGGTGAATCAGACTGACGGTATGGTGCTGACCTCCACCACCAATCCCGAATTTGCGTTGCAGCCCTAAGTTGCCGAACACTTTTACTTTAAAGCCCTACCCACCTCCAAGCCCTACAGCCCCAAACACATGCCTAAACCCGAAACTCTGAGCCTAAAGCCCTACATGTGCTCATTACGGCTATGATTCTGATTTCCGTTATCAATGTGATTATTGGTGCTATCCTGATGAACTTCTGTCGACCGGGATGGGTTCAGCTGTCGGGCTTGTGGTCTGGTTGCTTCCGCTGAGAGCTGCGCTGGCCGATGTGACGGCATGCTCTTTCGCCGAGACGGTGCCTTTGGCGTGTGGGATTTATGGCCCTAATGGGGCTTAGGGCAGAAAACCCTGAACCCTGAAGGCCCTAAACCCAATAGCCTAGAGGGATTTTGAGTTTTAGTCAGGGAATTTAGGTCCCAGGTTTTGGGAGCTCAGGCATCTACTTTCTCCCGTTTTGCTTGTATGGCCAGTTTGTTTTGTAGCCTTGTTTATGGAAGCGCATTCTGATGTCCCTGTACCAACCCGAAGCCTCTAAGCCCTAAGCCCTACAAGCTCCAAGCGCTGCAACCCTGCGAACCCTAAGCGCAGTAGCCCTCAACCCTCAATTCCCGGTGCATGTACTGTCCCGATTTCGATTATTTCCGCACTTGGACCTCAAAACCCGAAGTCCCAAACCTACATGGCACTCCTATGGTAACCTTAAAGAGCCCTTTCAGTACCCTTATTGGACCCTCCCGGGAACTCCATAAAGGAGGGATCTGAGAGTTGCCATCCCAGGCTGGAAAAGCAGTGCTCATCCCAAGCGCGTATGCTTTGAAGCACTGCAACCACAAAGTTTGGTCCACGGTTTATGAGAGGACGTGGCGTTGTTGTGGCTTTGAGGCTTCGGACGCTACACCTACAACAAAGCCTTTCTACACCGTATAGCTCGCTCCTACGTACTTAATGTAGAACATTATACGTAGCCCAGGACCCATTCCAAGTACTAAGGCCCCGATATAATGGCCTATGCCCCAAACCCTAAACCCTAAACCCCTATAGTGGCCTAAGCCCTAAACCCTAAACCCCTATAATAGCCTATAATGGCCTAAACCCTAAACCCCTGTAGTGGCATAAGCCCTAAACCCTAAACCCCTATAATGGCCTAAGCCCTAAACCCTAAACCCCTATAATGGCCTAAACCCTAAACCCCTATAATGGCCTAAGCCCCTCCTTTGAAGCCGCAGGACGCTGGAGGCCGCGAAGCAGCCTCTTGAAAAGACCTTGGAATTCCGCAAGATCCGCACAGGTCGATTCTAGGCAGGCCACTGGGATGTGTGTTCGTGTCTGTTTGTGTGTGTTTGTGTGTGTGTGTGTGTGTGAGGCTATGTTTGGTGTGTTCAGGGTTTAGGGTTTAGTGTTGCGGCTTTAGGGCTGTAGCGCTTTCGGGTTTTGAGGCTTTGGGTTTTGGGATGGTTTTCCTGTTTTGCCTCATTGTGGGTCTAGGGCTTTAGAGTCTTAAGGGTTTAGGGCTTACAGGCTTTAGGGTTTAAGGGTTTAGGGCTATCTCATATAAGAATATCGGTCAAGCTTTATGCGGCCAACCCAGGATTCATGTTCCCTTCCAGCCCGGAGGGACCAAAAAGGATGCTTTGGCATACGAATTTGTACCTGTGCTCTGTTAAACGTATCTGTCTTGTGAGGTTTTGTCTTTATGCAAGGGGGTTATATGAGAATGTCCAGGGCCGTTTGGTATTGTCTGAAATCCAATAAAACCGAACACAGGTCTGCTTGTTACTTTGCTCGGGACCTGCAAGAACAAAGCAGGTACAGCAACGACACTGCCAGCAAGGATTTGAATGAGCACTTCTTCACACCTTTCCCCGACATGCTCGCGAGGTTCTCAAAGTGTGGCCTGAAGATATTTCAGCCGGTGGTTCTGTACAGAGCCTGGGCTCCACGTTTCTTCCAGTATGGGCATGTCCTGGCTGATTTGCTTCCTCTTGTTGTCTGGATCTACAACAACTTCGAGTCGAACGATACGAAAATCGTCGTGGAGCAGGATACTGACGGGAGAATCAAGAGCTTCATGGAGTGGTTCGATGGCAAAATGCACGAGAGGATGATCTACGTGCCCGCCGACACTGTCGTCTGCGCAGAGGCTCTGCTGCAGCCAGCACCTGTTTTTACCTTGACAGGCGCCGTAACTGGCATTCATGATTTTACTATTTACTTGCCCACTTACCAAGTCCCATGATCTTTCAAGTAGACCTATAGTCTCCATTGTAGTTCCTTTTGGGGGATACCTTATAAAATCCTTGATATATATTTGGTTAAACCAAAAAAAGGAACTACAATGGAGACTATAGGGACAATCCAGAAGCGATGCACTAGAGTGTCTGTTTTCGCGCTGCTGGCGCAATGAAGCCGTCAATGCCCTGCCCCAAAACAGCCCTAAACCCAAAACCCAAAATAGCTCCTGAGCTCGCGGATCAAAAGCCCGAAGCCCTGCATGCCGAAACCTATAAGCCTTCGGCCAGCCTGTAACTGGACCCCAAAGAACCTAACTGTTGTAGGGCTCCTGAATATGATTGACTTATGAAAGTAATTATAAAAGGTACTTCATGTGAGGTCAGGTAAACCCTGATATCCTTCTCCCCCGGACCTTGAACATTTGACCCTCAAACGCCTTCATGCTAGCCGTCAGTCCTCTTACCTACAAGACCGTTCTTAGACCCTAAACCCTAAACCCTAAACCCTAAACCCTACACCCCTAAACCCTAAACGACCCTAGATTTGTTCCGTAAGACCCTATGAAGTCTTAATGCAGCCCCGAAGCCCCAACTGGATCTTTTCGAGCCCCTATGAAACAACCCTGAACCCTGAACCCTAAACCTTAAACCCCCTAAACCCTAAACCTTAAACTCTAAACCCTAAACCCTAAACCCTAAACCTTAAACCCCCTAAACCCCTAAACTCTAAACTCTAAACCCTAAACCTTAAACACCCTAAACCCCCTAAACTCTAAACCCTGAACACCATTCGAGGAGAGAGCGCTCGTGGTGGTGAACCCGGCACCTCGAGTC